AACATTCTGGTGTGATACTTCTTTGGCGATATGAAGCAACTCCAATGATGGAACACAGCAATAACTTTTATTTAACATTTAAAAAAATGGCGACATACAAACAAGAAGAGAAAACATATTCTAACATTTAAAAATAAATTACATTCTTCGTGCGAGAGTCGCACGTGGCACTCGAGTCTGGTTTCAAATATTGCCATTAACAAATACCTTAATGTTCATCTATTTAAATTATTTAAACTACAAGATTTTAATATTATTTAAATCTGTTACACTGGGCTAAACCGGTAAGAATTCGTTCCAGAAGGTTCTCCAACTGTCCATGCATGAGTTGTTGAGGCCTTGCTGCCCATTCGTCTTGCAGCGCCAATCGAAGCTCCGGAATCGTTACTGGTGGTAAGGTACGAGCTGCCAAGCGTCTGCCTAGAAAATCCCATACCTGCTCGATGGGATTGAGATCCGGAGATCGTGCCGGCCAATCCATACGTTTAATATCCTCACTCTCTAAGAGCTGTTCGGCAGCTACTGTGCGATGACATGGTGCATTGTCGTCCATGAAAATGAACTGCGTACCCATAGCGCCTCTAAAAAGACGCACATATGGAAGAAGAATCTCGTTGACTGAACCTGCGTCGAAGATGTGAAGGTCTGTACGACTACCAAGCATGATGCCTCCCCAAACGAGAATACCGCCACCTCCATACCTGTCCCTTTCAATGATATTCGAGGGATGATTGCGGCTTCCCCGCTCTCTCCAGATGAGTATGCGATGAGAATCACTACTCAGACTGAATCTGCTCTCATCTGTAAAGAGTACTCGTCCCCATTCATTGTCTCTCCAATTCCGGTGTTCGCGGCACCACAGAGAACGCCTTCTCCGATGGGCAGGCGTTAGAGGTACACACCGTACAGGGCGTCGTGCAAACAGACCACCACCGTGCAGTCTTCTGGCCACGGTAAAACGCGATTTCGGTCGTCCAGTGGCCTGTGTCGTGTGTCTAGCGATTTCTCCCGCTGTCTGCCGCCTGTTTTTTCTGACCTGTAAGGCAATATACCGGTCATCTGCGGGTGTGGGTCCTCGTGGATGACCACTACTAAACCTCCGGATAGCTGTTCCTGTAGTTTAAAATTGTCTCCAAAGTCGTGAAACGATGCTGTGAGCAATTCCGAACTCTGCAGCCACACTTGTCACACTGCGGCCTTCCTCCAACTTCCCAGCGATTCGACCTCGGGTAAAAGCATCCAGATGTCGTCTAACAGATTGATTATTCGAATTTCTCGCTGAGGTAGCAACTCAGTGTGATTTTAACTGCTATACGGCGTGCAATCTCTTTGCCAGAAATACTGATCTTACACCGACAACATGCTTTATACTACTCAGACACTCTCTCATTACGTCTACCTGCATATCTGCGCATGTGCTACCGTACATCACCTTACTTAATCTCCTGATTGGTCTTTCTGTCCGCTCTGCCTCTTCGTTCAGCTGATATGCTAATTTTTCGACTTCGTCCTTAATTTTTGCACAACAGAATGAGCAAGAATTCGTGCAAGAATGAGCTCATAAAAATCAACCAAGCAATTTATAGCAAGCTTGTTCATAATTCTGCTCTTGACCAGTTGAACATGTTCTGTATAAGTGTACAACACGCAGAAAGAATAAATAAATTCAAACAAATTTAATTAGTCAAATAAGAGAGCTCAAATAAGTGAGCAATAACTAAGTTATATCTAGGTTCAACAAAATTTGAAAGCATTGCCATTTTCGGGGAAGTGCAAAGTAGTTGATATTTTGTACAGTATTCTATCAAAATGAAAATTTACAAGAAAGCTTAGAATCTTAGTTAATATTAATGAAACAGTAACAACTGCTCAAACGTTTGACACCGACAGCGTTAAGTATTTACATACCAGACTGAAAATACATAGATTTTAATCTCCTGGCTTATTTAATTATGGCAAAGCACTCGAGGAGAGCTATTTGCCTAAAGACAGGTATGCCTTCGTGGAGGACTTTCTAAGGGAAACTAACTCGTATACACGCTACACGGGGGAAAGACCAATAAAACGCCCATGAAGCCTGCCCATTCGCCGGGATTCGAACCCCGGACCGAAGCGCTCAGCCGGTGGTGGGCCTGAGATTTAAATTTACGAAAACCAATCTGCACTTACTCCATTTCACCTTATTTTTAGCTTGTTTTATAAATTAAACAACACTAAGCATAGAATGTGCTGCATAGAAAATGTTGATGAATGTCAAAACGTGAATAAAAGCTGCATTTTATACTCACAAACTCTAACTGAATACTTAACATATTAATGAAAAGGCTGACAGCATTCCCTCTTCGAAGCTATGAATTCCTCGTAGGGTCGATTTCCTTGGTTGAGAAGCCCTGATATAGGACAATATATTAATTTATTGACAGTATTACATACATTATTAAAACTTACTAACGTAACCCCTGATACATATAGTCTGTACTACTAAAAACGTAATCAAATTTGAAATGGTTATACTCAAGCATTCACTTTCACTTTCACAGTTAAATTATTTTAATTTACATAAGAATATTTTTGTTTGTTTGTTTTTCTTTTGGTTTGTCGCCTCACTGCAATAGATCCATATGTCTAATATCCATCAAACAAATACACAGTTTTATTATTAAAAATTTCATGTAAAATTCGTTACAATTGAGGCGATTGGAGAATCAATTTATTGATTTATTATTCTGTAAGTATTTCATTCATTTTATACTCAATAAAAATGTCTAGTTAAGGAATTGCTCTTTAATGTACTTAATAACACACAGAATGATACTAAAAATGTAAGTAGTATAAAAAGTTACCTCTAGAATCAATACACAACTATTCTGATGGCAAATAAACTCTTGATGGTATATACCTCATTCATTTAGTTTCACGTTAAATAATTTATTGAAGACGGTACGTCACATAAAACAAACATTCAGTATGATGCATGTGTTAAATGTGAGTATGGAAGGCAATCTAATTGTTTATTTATCATTAAAAATAATAAGTGTTTGATATGTAAATTATTTCTCTAATTTCCTTTGTGAATAGTACTTAAAGAGTGCTTCTAAGTCACGTTGTTTGTTTAAAACGGGTTGTGATAAACTTCTGGAACTGATAAAAGCCAGCTATTGTGTGTATTATACGTATTTTGCTAAAAATTTGATAAGGTCAGCCATTATAATTGTAGCTGATAAGAACAAATGATAATAATGGCAATAATAATTCGTTTCAGAAGAAGAAGAAAAAAAAAAAAAAAAAAAAAAAAAAAACGCTTTCTGTGAGATTTGATCATTTAGATTATATGGTTATTTTCTGCTTAGTAAGAGAAAAAATCATTTCCAGATCGTGAAACTAAAGTATAATGTTTCAGCTTAATAAAAGAAACACTTGAATTTTTAACACACACGCATACGGTTACAGCCGAAAACATCGCGAACGAAAACGTCGTGGAGAAAACAACGCAAAGCGAAAACGTCGTGGTACAAAACATCGTGGAAAAAAAGAAAGCAAAGAGAAAACATCGCAGTTCTAAAAGATCATGCTACAAATCATCTTGGTTGAAAATAACGCGGTTAAAAAAACTTCGCAATTTAAAAAACATTGTCGTCAAAAATATCGTAGTAAAAAATAAAGTACCTAAAAATCATCGCATGCCGATAACATCGCACACATGTGTTTTCAGGTTTTAAAAGTTCTAAATGCATTTTCGCATAATGATTTTAGAGAACAAGAAGTAAAGAGGAAAAGAGAGTTAAAATGTTAACGACATTTTGAGAATAAACGGAAACAAAACAAGATATAATTTTCACTAAAACAATAACAGATTAACAAACGTGAAAGAAAATAATTTGATAATTAACTAAGCAATTTTCTAGAGATAACCTCATACAGTTATTTACTGTTTTTTTTTCGAAGTATTTTTAGACTTTATTTTTAATAAAAAAAAATATCAGTAAAACTTATTAAAGAAGGTTAATATATTAATTAATTATGTAAATTTAAAATTCTATTAAGTTTTATAAGTTGCATTAATTTTCTACTCATTTTCACTTTTTTACCACTGTATTTTCGTCGACGATGTTTTTAAACTGCGAAGTTTCTGAACCGCTTTGTTTTCGATCACAATATTTTGTACCATGATGTTTTAGAACTGCGATGTTTTTCCTTTGCTTTCTTTTCTCCCGCGATGTTCTGTACTACGACGTTTCCACCTGACGTTGTTTCTCCGCTACATTTTCCTCCGCGATGTTTTTGCAGCGATGTTTTCAGCGGATACCACACATACCCCAAAAAACTGCTTTCCATATTTTGCTTCAGTAACCTACTAATTTATGTACGTTTTATGTATCTTTTAATTAAAAAGGAGTCAAATGTGTGTTTCTTATCTCTTTAACTAAAAGAAGTAAAAAAAAAAAAAAAAAAAAAAAAAAAAAAAAAAGAGGTTCTTAGAATTATTAGGTTATATTGAAGCAGAAACAGGAAGAATATGTACTACCCCCACAGAAATTCGAACTCAAGAGCTCATGAAAATGCGCTAAACGGGCTTTCAGTTACACCACGAAGGTATTCGGAAAGGAGGGAGTAAATACCTTACATAGTCCCCCTTTTAAACCCTTTTAAAGGGCGACTGAGGGTGACGCGACCCAATCGCCAAATCCTGGTGGTGAAGAATTTTCGTCCATCACCTTTTTAGCTGAAATATAAATGAAGTAAACGGAAAAATATGTTTTAAATGCATGAAAATATTCACCGATTGTGAAAGTATGAACAGTGATGAATACTGGTATTAAATTGATAAAATAACTTTTACAATTAATTGCACTTACAAAAAATTTTTAAAAACTAATTCTGTGATAATTTCTATTTTTATTCGTGATTGACATAAATCATTATTATACTAGAATAGAAAATTTAAAAAAAAAAATCTAATTAAAATGTTGGAGACGCCGCTTAATGTGATCATGGTTAATGCTATCATTCGGATAATTTTACCGAATTTCCAAAGTCCATCCGTATACGTCCATGTATACGAATACAAGGAAAATATTTATCTTATTGTCATAACAACAATTTGGATAATATGATAAAAATATTATAAAATAAAATTTTTAAGCTGAATTAAATTCATAAAATAAAGTCAGAATAGTTTATGAAAATTAGAAAGTAACAGAGAAATGTAGAATAATAAGGAATTAAGTCACCAAATTGCTTGGTTTAGATTGTAATTAACCATTCATATTAAACGAAAAAGGAAACCTTAGTTTGGCTTAAATTTGAATATATCTATTGATTTTGAATGCGATCAGACACAGGTCCCTGTTTTCAGAAGGAAAGTTAATTCTACAGAAATTTTTTGGAATTTTCTTCACTTTCTGCAGAATTCTGTAGAATTTTCTTTCCCCTTTCTGCTGAAAACAAAATCCATGAAAATATTTATTAATTTTGTTTTTGCCTTATTTTTAATTGCACATTGGCATGTTTTCTTTCAAGAAAGGACAAGTGTCACGAGCAGTTCATAAATGAACTTTTGCTTTGAAGACATTACGAACAGTTCATCAACAAATGTTTACCTTTTTTCAATTAAAATGCTACGAAAACTACTTTATATATGCTTATGATTATATTGCTATTAAATTAGTTAAATTCTATTGATACTTTTATGGCATTTTTTTCTCTTCGTTTAATGTTATCATTCGGCTAATGCTATCGAAATAGTGGTGGACAAACTTGATCACATTCAACAGCGACGTCGCCTACTGTATATAAATATTAAATTACAAACATTTGATAGTAATACATAAAATCAAAGCTCTTGATTTGGATTTCATAAAGTCATCCATTTGAGGCGTTTAAATGTGGATGATTCTGGAGGCAAAGAAGACACCCATTTCTGAAGTCCAACTGTAATCACAGAAAAACTAATTAAAACGGCTCCGCTGATGCTAAAAGCATCCGGAACTTCACGGAAAAATAGCGTTTGCCACAAAAATGCGAGCACAATATCTGCGGCTGCTCGCATAGTCGAAATAGGTCCCGCGTTTTCACACTGCAAAGCTATCGTTAGCATAGTCTGTCCTATATAACTGATTATCCCTAAAACAACGATGAGGATACTGTCCAAGCCACAAGAATGCCACTTGAAATTCCCAAGTAATAAAGTAAGTATTACAGATTCTATTATGGCCACCCAACTCGAATTGAACATGATGACAGCATGATGGACACTCTTCACTTTTCGCAGGACAATGAACCTACCTGTGCTGAAAATTAATGAGGCGAAAGCTGCTAAGATGCCATAAATAAACTCGGTTGAATAAGTGAAAGAACTCCCTGCCAGCCTACTGGGAATCTTGGTATTAAACATTATACCGACCACTGTTAAGAAAACGGTAAGCGTTTGGAATATACCGCAAGGTTCTTTTAGGAATATTTTAGCTGCCACTGTGACAAATATTGGCACGCTGAAGATGATGATAGCAGCTTCACCGAGAGGAAGGTAACGGAAAGCTATAAAATTTAGAAATAAGTTTGTAGCACCAAAGATTCCGCGAATCATGAGCAAGAAACGAAGATTTTTAGGTCCTAGTATATTTTCACCACTTTTTATTGATTCTGGAAAAGAAAAGGTAAGTACTGCCAGAAATCTGTACGTCGCAAGTTGTCCCGGATGGAGGCCAGTCATTTTTTTTACAATCACAGCAGTTGATGAATAAAATAAACCAGATAAAAGTGCAAGCAACAATCCGGTGAAAACAGAGAATTTGCTTCCACTAGGTTTCGTTTGCAGCTCCAATTTTTCTTCGGAGTGCTGGAGATGAAACTTCTTTTTCTTATGGATCATGATTTTAACTAAACATGTAGAGTAGCATTTCCATAGCATATCGATGACGTCTGTAATCCTCCTTGGTGAAAAGCTATGAAAGATAAAAGAATAACTTTTAAAAAGTAAAATACCACTTAAATTGAAGGGAAAGTTTACAAAAACTCCTTAAGAAAGGATTTGTAATAAATTAATACAGATTTAATCCATAACCCGTAATTTTAAATTTGCATGTTTTTTAATTTTATATTTATTACTACGTTTGAGCAAGATAAAAATTTCAATAAGCGAAACTTATTTTAAAAAGCTTAACTTATCGTTAATATTGTTCATTTTATACACTGTAATACTATAGCCAAGAATATTTAGAAACCTACTGCATATTAAATCCTTAATAGAAGGAAGAAAAGAAGGTGAATCTTCGGATTATGGTAACTTGGCGATTTTTTGGTAATTTTTACTATCCATCATCTTAAAGTAGATGCATTTCTAACCATAACTACAAAAAATTAGACTTTTTTTATTCAAAATTTCTGAAAATGTATATGAATTTATACATTGGCGCGTTTAGAAATTCGGCATATTTGTTGAAAGCGATAATAACATCAAATGTGGTTATTCAGGTTCTTTTTTAAAATTGTTTAAAAGTAGGAACTAAGTGACTTTTTTGCCGCTCTCGCACAATGTAAAAAGGAAAAGAGGTTGCCATATATTAAGAAGTTCGCCTAGTGAATTATTCTTGGCGCAAACTGGAAAAAAGATTAATAAGATAAATTTTTCTTTTTTTTTTGGACGCCATTTTGTTTTCACAAAGTAAATGCATGTTTATTGTTGTGTTTTTTAACTCAATATTTTTCTAACAATCTGCTAGCCGAATTACGCTTATGCTAGAACTTTTATGGAACAAAAGTGCTTAATCATGACGAAGATTAGGGGCGTAATTGGGAGAAAGTGCAGAATCGTCCACTGCTTGCCGCGTTTTTAAGAATTGCACATACACGGTATCCATGTACACGTCGACATATTTTCACTTAAAAAAATCTCAGAATTGCACAAAAATGGCATTGTGCACACTCTTGACTTTATCCATGTACACATCGACTCATTTTCACTTAAAAAGTTAAAGAAAATTGACACAAATCCAATTCTTCTTACTCTTATAAAAAGCCTCAAACAAATAAGTGGACGATTCTGCACTTTAGCGGCGAAATTGTTTCTAAGTGCTTATTAGCTAAAATTACGATTGCAATTTTCCAGAAAATGTTACATTACATGTCTCATGATCTCTCATTTCTCTGAGACAAAATAATCTGCATTCGAACTGTGTACTTCTCAGATCATTGCTAAAGTCCTAGCTAGTAACCTTTATCGCCTTACCAAAATGTCGCCAAACTACCTGTTACCATATTCCAAAGATTAGCCGAAAAGAAAATAAACAAGAAGTAGAAAATTTAAATTTGTACTTAAAATGAACTGTACTCGTGTTTTAAAATTTTCGAATCAAAAATACATTGATAAAAATCAGAGTAAACATTCCTTTAACTGCTAATGATTAAATTTTGTTTTTGTACATCTTTTGTGCTGATGTAGACTTTTGTTCATTAATTTATATTTCATTCGCTTTGTGATAAATTTGTGTGCATCTATTTTGTATCTATACCTACATTTGTTTTATTACGCTCCAAATTTTGTATAGTAACCATTTAGTACTTGTAAACAACTATCATAAAGGCACAGAAACTAACTAGATTAGCAACGTTTTTCGAAAAATCACCAAATTTGACCATTTCTGAGGCATTTAGAAATTATGATTTGAAAGATGGGCAGACACTTTCATGAAGAAACGTTCTGTACATTTGCACTCAATAAGTATGTCAGTGGCAGTTGAGAAAAAATAATTTAATGGTTTCTCTTTAGTTAAGTGACAGAATCTGCAATTTTATAGACACATTTCCATCCAGTTTTGGTTTTTTCAACTAGTGTTTCGAATAACATTCACGTTCTTTGCCCTCAGAAGCTATTTTGGAATGAAATTGACGTTCGATTGCTTAACTGTGTGTTGTCAAAGAATAATAAATATAACAGCTGGGTGGAAAACCACTGGTGAGTAATCCAAAAGTGCCAAAGAGTTTTCCAGAGAAAGCCGGAAAGCGTGAAAAATCTACTTATCTAAGAAATTCCGCGAGCAACCAAGAAGTATGAAACAGAGACGAAATGATGACCACGACACGACGAAAGGTCTAGGCAGTAGCCGAGAAGACAGCGTGTTCCACGACTGAAATAACCTATTTGGGGATTACTTTGAGGAGAAGAACAGCTAAGCATAACAAGAGCAAGTAGCTCAGCTGAAATTCCTTTGTTTTCCATTTCAAGTGGAAATTTGGTCATTTTTGTCTGTGTAATTGTTAGTCGCGATATATTTACCTAAATGAAGATGTCTCAATTTAAAATCATAAGTAGAATATTCTTTTGTTTAAAAATTTTAGTCTAAAATATAAAATTTACGTTTTGTCACAAAAGTTGTGCCACAAACCTGATATTTCTTAATCAAAACTGTAAACAGTCTGGCAATCTCAAAGTCATGCTATTGTGAACAGTCGCAAATTTTTGCATGAAATTTGTGCTTATCTGAAATCACCTGAAATTAATATCAGTAAATTCAAACATTATTTTGAAAAAATTATGAAAGTGGGCCATTAAAAAATTCCTTTCATTTTCATGCAGTACAGTATAGACCTAATGTTTTTTTGAAGAAAATCATTTATGAATATCGTGAATTTTGAAACTCCTGAGAAAAGTATAAAATGCAATAGACAAATTCGCACCCTGAAGCGAGCGTTAAAAGTCACGTTCCTTGCCATGTGATATTCGAAACGAACTGAGGATGTATTTCATGCTTTGCCAATTTCTCATTTGGTATTCTACAGAATGCCTAGGAAATGCTAACTGTTTCATACATTACCGGCCAGTTTTTGGTATTCTATAAAATGCCTAGGCAGCCTAGGTATTTCCGGTAACGTAGTCAAGCCTTACGCGGGAATCGAACCCACATTTGACCAATTTTCGGACTAGTAATTTGCTTGTACTAACCACTGTACCATTCAAGGCAACAGTTTCCTAGATTTGTGTTCATAATGTTCATCAAAACTTAAAATAAATACATAATATTATAAATATTTAATTTTATATATACAATATTTGATGTAATTTATTATAAAATGTATAAATGATCTGATAAGATGAAATATGAATGTATCATCATGAATATCATATGAATATGATGAAAACATCTGAATCTCAGGGAAAGGATCAAATATCCACAGCTACGCGATTCATGATTCATTTTCCGAAAAATCTGATGTGGACATAACATGACTTCCTTGTATGGCCTATTAAATTATACACATTTTCTGCCGAACTTCATTTAAACTTAATCTTCTCAAGTTTCATTACAGATATAATTCTCATTCAATGAATTCAGTTCTCCCTTCGCGGCAAAGCAAAAACACATAAAATCTCAAAACACCTTAATTAAAAATTGTGAAACACCTGATAGTATTAAAACAGTTTTAAAAAATGTACAATTAAAATTGCAGTTTTTACCTAAAAACAAGCAATTCGGCTTACGGAAGAGTAGGCAGTTTTTTTTTTTTTTTTTTTGTGCAAAAGAACTGAATGTCTTTTTAATCCCACTCGGCAAAAAGACATTGAAAGTGCAGAAACAGAGTTAATTCACTATTCTATTCTATTGCGTTTCAAATGTAAAAAATGACGGTTTCATTAGGATTAACCCGCCACTTTAAATTGTTGATAATTCTGCAACTATTTGCCTGCAGATAAATTAAAGGCATGAAAACCTTAACAGGGACATAAAAGCCATATAATTCAATCACTTTTAAAGCAAAAAAAAAAAAAAAAAAAAAAATGCAAATTTTACCATCATATAAGAAAAATAAATTAAGCTCACCAAGCCAGGTAACATAGTGGGAACATATATATATTTATATACGATTGCTACAGCTTACTGAAACGAAAAAGAGGTATGCACAGCTACATGTTATAGTAGCCAGGTTACCAAGCCAGGTAACATAGTGGGAACATATATATATTTATATACGATTGCTACAGCTTACTGAAACGAAAAAGAGGTATGCACAGCTACATGTTATAGTAGTCCCATATACAAAATTTCAACGTTCTACGGCTACTCGTTCTTGTTATGCGAGATACATACGTACGTATGTACGTACAGATGTCAAGAAGAAATATCTTCTGAATCCATTTTAAATCTAGTTTACAAACTTTTCTGCCAAAAATCGTCCATTATTCTGTCCGTGCGCACAGATGTCACGCAAAAATATCATTCAAATGTTTTTGGGAGCGCTTGAAATGGATATTTTCGTTGAAATATAATATCCTAAATCTTTCGCGATTACAATACTTCGTACAATTCCTTTATTGCGTACAAGGAAGTAAAAAAGGATATTTTTAATTTATTGAAACATGTTTATTTATTATAGATTAAAAAATATCGTATTGTTCTAAATATTTTAACTGAGGTGCGAGGATTAATGATGAAAGAGGTGTTTTAACTAATGATTTTGTTTTATCGAATAATGTGATTTTATTTAATAGTTTTAATTCACCCCCAACGTTTGTGTCATCAATGGTTGAAGGATATACTGATCTTATTATTGGTTTTCCGGGTATAAATGTTGATGATTACGAGTTTGAAATACTGGATGTTGAGAGTTTAAGTAACCATTGGTACCTTGTTCTGAAGAAAAAGAACTTGAATGTTATCAAAACAGCAAGGACCAAATTCTCTAATAATCCGAAAAGGATTGAAGCTTTCTGTAAAACGATTAGGAAGGATATTTACTGCTTTTATTCGAAATTAAAGAATATTAACGGTAAGAAAGAATTGGAGGACATTGTGTCCGAACTGGAAAAAGTAGTTGTTGAGAAATCAAATAAATGTTTAAAAGTTAAATTCAAAAGACACTATACGTCTAGTTGGTGGAACGATCAACTTCAGACAATAAAGAGAAAAGTGTGAGCTTTGAGGAAGAGTGCTCAGGTGAATGC